TGAGTAACAATGTTGGTATTGTCACTTAATAACATCAACCCAAGAAGATTGTTTTGGAACTTTCAGAGGCTGTTTTTGGTTTGTTGAAATGTGTTGGATTAAAGGGGAATATAGTCATTGACTGACTTAGGTTGTTAGTGAAATGTAAGGGGTAAAAAATTTTAAACTATAAATGAGGACAAAATCTCTTCTGTCTTGCCTGCTCTTTTAATGAATTCACATTTCTTTTGATATCTTCACTTTCTATGGGGCTTGCATTAATTATTCTCACCTTCTTGCACAACTCCCATCAGAGTAAACAAACACACCCCACAAGCATAGCCGGTAACACATGCGGGTTTCGCTACACAAGCCACTGAGCAGCACTCTGTGTGTCTTCAGCTCTCCTCCCTAAGTGGCCAATTGCTGTCAATCACTGCTGCCGACACAAGCAATTTTAGATCCTAATCATTTTAATTGAGGTAATGAAATGGAGGACCAGGTGGACTGGGCAAAAACAAACATGATGAACACAGCTGAAGATGGAGAGCAGGCTGCCCTTGCCAGATATGAGCCGAGCTGCCTGAAGCATACAGGGGCTTGAACCTCACTTAGGATTTCTAAATATATATTTGCAAGAACGGCTGGAGTGGAGGATGCTAAGATTTACTGCATTTGTCATGGAGACATGACCCACATACTCAAAATACATCATCATTCACAGCTAACCTTTATGGTTCTAGTGATAAGACAAAAAATGCTGCCCTTGGACAGGACTCCACATCAAAACATGCAGTCATAAAGATTACACCGATGAGCGTTGGCATTTTAGAGGACACCTTACTCAGATTAAACGCCTGCTAGATGATAAACTGTTCAACATTTCAGGCTAGTCATGCTTAAGCTGCTAACCGTTATGGTTTAAGCTGCATCATGGTGTTAACATGACTGGGGTAAACTTCCTATTTATTTTTTTTTATTAGTAGCTGCTTGAATGAAGTGTCAAAAAACAAAACGTTAGCTAAAATATTTTTCACAATGTGCAGAATCTGAGTTTGATTTTTCTTGTTTTAAGGACCTATCCTCTTGATATTTCAGCTCAGTTTAATAGGAGGATGTAAATAAGTGTCATGATTTTGCACTTTTTGTTTTCTTTTGGAGTTTTCAGTTGCACTTGGATCATGTTTTTCTGTGTTTTCTAGGTCATTTGTTTCTTTTCCATTTTGTGTCATTCTAGTTGTTTTCTGGTTGTAATTGAGCTCTTATGTATTTCTGTTTACTCTCTGTTGCCCTCTTGTGTCAGTCTCCTTCTAAATCCTTCCATCAACACCTGTTCTCAATCACTTGATTACTCCATTCTTTGTTCTGGTCGGGATTAAGGCTACGTTCACATTGCAGCCTGACCCAAATCCGATTTTTTTTTGCCCACTTGCGACCTGGATCAGATCTTGTCATGGCTGTCTGAACAACACAAATCCGATTTTTTCAAATGTGATCCAGGCTAGAGTCCTGCAACGGGTCGGGTATCCGCGGGTCCCCGACGGGTCACCCGCTAAAATGCTCTTTTGAGGGTGAAAAATACATAAATAAAAATAAACGGGTCGGGCGGATATTTTTTTATTGCGGGCGGGTAGTTGGTGATTTTTTTTTTATGCGTGTGTGTTGTTATGGACATCAGAACTGTTATATTAATCTGGCACTGGGGTCACCCTTGTTGTAGCTTAAAGCCCTGCCGGTAGTATGGGCTACCCTCCAAAAAGGCCACAGTCAGTGCATACACGTCTGCTGCAGTGTTAATGGCGCTGTTCTGCAGCGCAGCGTACTTAATGCCTATTACTTGATGTGTTAACGGGTCGCGTTGCGGGTTAAATATCAACGGGTCGGGTTCAGATTTGAATTGAAGATATCCGCGGGTGACGGGTCGGGTTCGGTAGTCATCCTAACGGGTTCGGGCGGGTGCGGGTTGGTAAAACTCGACCAGTGCAGGACTCTAATCCAGGCCACTTCGCTATGTGGTGCTGAATCTGATACGAATCTGATGTTTTCAAATGCAACCTGTGTCTGAACGGCCAGGTCGCATTCATCTGACCTGAACACCATTAATATCCGACAAAGGTCACTATTCTGGGTCTTGCTATGAAAAACAACAACCATGGCAGACGATGATGGGGAGAGCAGTATTTATGTTTAACCATCTTGAAAAGATTGTGTTTTTATGGTTGGGAAAAATTGCTAGATGCGCTCCAGCACTACATCCATGTTTACTTCCGTAAACACGAAGCATGTTTGCTTGTGACGTTGTTTTGTGTTCTGTGCATGCGGGACATTTAAGCTGTGTGAATGCAGTTTACACAGGACATCACATACAAGTCGCATATGTTTGGAAATGTGAACAGCAAAAAAATCGGATTTCACAAAAAAAACGGAATTGAGCATCAAGGCCTGCAGTGTGAACGTAGCCTTATACTCCCCATCTGCAGTAAGCCAGGGCTGGATTCTCCTCATTCATTCATTCCAACCTTGACCCATGTGCTCCCCTTTGTTCTGGTTCCTTGTTCAGTTATTTTTTTAAATTATGCTTCTGTTGCCACTACTCCTTATCAAATCTTCAAGAAACCCCCTCAGCTTCTGTCTCTGTATTTGGGTCCACTTAAATCCTCCATACAACCTAATGATGACAAATTAAGTAAAGGTATCTTAAGTTATGAATGAGCCTTTATGTTTTTCCCCTACTGAGTGATTGACGCTGAAGACACTGAAGAATTGTATTTATTACACGGACTCTAAGGCTATGAAAAAAAAACTGGTATTTAATTGTATAATCAGAGCAAGTTTAATAATGGTAAGTGAAAAAAATGCATTTCTAGAAGCTTCTGTTTTAGACATAATTAGGTGTGCCAACTTTAACTCTGTTTCTTTGCATAAGTAGACATATACATACTTCTTTAATCTTTTTTTATATTTTATCCCTTTACAACGCAAAAAAAATATTTCATTGATATTTCATCTGAATTTTCATTACAGTATTGAATCATTTGCAGTTTACACAACAAGTAAGATAAATGTATAAATTCACAAACTCCAGAAAATGCCTCTTGCCCGAAGCCAACAGATGCGTTAGCCTCGATACAGAAATGTTTTGGACCAATGAAATGCAGTGACATGTATGGTGACAACACATCAATCAGAGGTGGAAACTGAAGCAAAACCAACATGGTTGTGCTGGTTTTTGCTGGAATACCTTTTTTTCCTACTTCCAAAACAAGTGGAAGGATGTGATTTTGGCATCTGTGGATGGGAAGATGTTAGTGTGTTCCTCCTGACTGGATTTGGCAAGAGTTTGATTTATCAGTTACGAAAAAAATCAAGAATGTGATAGCTGCCACTCCTGCTGTGATTGGCTAAAAACTTGACAAGGGAGACAGGTACCCAATTAGCTCAAAGTAAAGTGCTGAATGTTCCTCCCTTTGGTGAACATGTTCATCAGCATGTTTCCCTTTTCCCTAATGCTGCCACTACTGTGATACACAGCAGGCTACTGTCTACAGTGTCAGCCATGTCTTGGTGGGCCTGCAATTTTGCAATCCTCATTTCCATTTACAGATGAATGCTTAAACAATCCTTTGTTAAATGTTTAAAGGTTGGATTGTTGTTTTGCTTTAAACTTCTCCATAACTTTCTCCCTTCTGTCAGCCATGTTCCATCATTTCTATAAAGATAATAAACCTCAGAAGCCTATGTTAATTTAAATTGCATTACACACATGGGTAATTTACTTGATAAATAATATCATGGAGATTTTTTTAAGGATATCATGTTAAGGAGCCTGAATATCTTTATAAACCCATTTTTCCAATTTTATTATGTGAAATCATGTTAAACTTTGCATTATTTTCCCTTCCTCGTCACATTTTATGAAACTCTTTTTGTTTGACTGCCAAATATAATCCCAAAAAGGTCAATACTAAATAATCAATAAAGCTATATATTTCTTTTTCCATTTAATTTATCCTGGATACATTTAAGCTAAAGAAAAGCTATAAACAAGTGAAAAATGTAGAACCTCATGATAAAACACAAGAAATGTGCAGGGCCTCCTGGTACATAATTATTAACCATCAAAATCAAGAAGATAAAGGAAAAAGATAATGAAATTAATTGGTTTTGTTTTATGTAAAGGAGATATCTTTCCTAAAAAGTTAGTAACCATGAACACATGTATCGCTCCACTCAGTTAACTCTGAGTAATGATGTTCCACTGGCTGCATTCGTATCTTCTTTTCTACTTTTGCATAATCGTTATTTGTATGCTGTCCAGACAATCAATCAGAAAGGGCTGAGCCACCCTCTGTCTGAGCTATAAACAAGCAACGATAATGCAGTCAGGTCCATCTTATCTTCACCTATTTCGACACCTTGGTAACACTTTGTCCTGCTGACACCACCCCAACCCACCACCACATTCCCTCCAGCACTGATATCATGTCACAGCTCAAAAATGAGACTGTAACCGTTGAAGATATTTCTACTTGAGATCACAAAGGAAGATCTTTTTGCAGTTTTAAATACATCCTTATTGTTTAATGTTTATCTAGCCTGATTACATCTCCCTCCGACAGATACTGGAGGCCAATCTGATCCCAGACCTGGTGCAAGTGCACAGCAAGCAAATCAACATGGAGCACACATATTGAGTAATTACAAATGCTAGCGGAGGTCTGGCCATCTGTTCGTCCAGCAAAATATAATCCTGATAATCAAATAATATGTATCTAAGAGGAAATGACTGAGTCTCATTAGAACCTGTGGGGGCTGCCTCAGACGTGGCCTGTGCACAGAGTTTGCAGCCGACAAATGAGCCAATGCAGATGCAAGCTGAATTATTAAAGAGTACTGAGCAAAACAGGTTAACACCTTACTACAAATCATCCAGACAAAAAAAATGGTTTGGTAGAGGGATGCTCATTCTCCAGCTATAATAAAAAATGACACACATTGTAATGATAACAATGCTTACTTACACGGACAGCTCTTTTGTTTGTGCTTCTTAGGTGACAGGTGCAGATGGAGTATATGAGTTGAAGTTCCCCTTACCTAACCTGGGGATTATATGATAAGAGGTGATTATCTAGCTAAATATTTCAGGATTAAAGATGTACGTGGCAGCCCAAATGCGAAGGAACAGCAATGTGATCTGCTAACATTAACTACACCAGCTTAATTTTTACCTATTGCTAAGTAAAAAAATAAACAAAAAAATAAAGAAACTGGACTGTAAGAGATCATGTAAGAATATTTATCTTACAAAAAACAAACATATTCAGATTAAAAAGAGAAACCACAATGATGAAAGGGGTAGTTGTTAAATACTTGCTGAAATGCAAAAATAATAAATATTGTTTTACAAATAAATAATTAAATGTCTTTGGTTACATTTACATATCTAATATTACAGCTGTTCACTGAATGGAAAGTTTCAGAGTGAGCTGGTAATACATGTGTGAAAAAACCTATTTAAATAAGTGAAGTGAAAACAGAGGGGAGATGTCAACATTCACAAGATTAATTAGCTAACATCTCAAGAAGGAACGGTCCAAAAACTGCATAGTATGTGGGAATTAGCTTTTGCATGTCAACCAATTGTAGGCTCAGCACTCCCAGTCAAAAATCTACATACACTAATCATAACAAAATTTTTTATTTAGCAAGGGAAACAATTATAGTAGTTGTTTGCATGTATACTAAAGAAAGACACAGCCTTTTAAGAATCAGTAGTGAAAACATTTCCATGAATATCAAGTGAAAAATATAGAGTAAGGAAAGGCTTTACTTTAATCTCAATTTAATTACAAAATACTTGTGTTACTTGAGTCAAGGAAAATGGGATAAGCGTGTTAGAAAATGGATGGATGGATGGATGGATGGATGGATGGATGGATGGATGGATGGATGGATGGATGGATGGATGGATGGATGGATGGATGGATGGATGGAGTTATAGTCATCCATAATGTCCTTTATCATATGAAAACAGAGGGGTTCCTTTAAAAGAGATGCCTTCTTTAACAGCTTGTTAAGCTTTTTTAGGTTATTTGCTTTGATGTCATTTCCCCAGCAGGGGATGGCAGAAGAGTTCCCCCTTTCAACAACAGACAGCATCTTTCTACAAATACTAAAGGACCTAAGCTTCCTTGAGAAGTATAGTCTGGTCTGTCCCTTTTTGTAGATGATTATGCAGTAAAGTTTCCCCAGTAAAGTTTCTTGTCCAGGTGAACACCAAGGTATTCATGCCTTCTCCACCTCCTTTTCTCCCATGATGGTAATAACATATGACTTCTTCTTGTTCCTTGTGAAATCTACAGTTATCCCCCATGTTTTGTCCACATTCTTCTGATCAGATCAGATAATTGTTTTGCACAACTGTTGGTTGCCACAAAGTGATTCACAAGCTCCTTGTACTCAGCCTCTTTTCCATCCAACTACTGCAGAGTCAACTATTTCTGCAGATGACAGGAGTCTGTCTTGTACTGCAGGCTGGAGGTGTACAGAGTTAAGAGGAATGGTCAGAGTACCGTCCCCTTTAGACTACATGATCAGACAGTTGACCATTCAGTTTCACAAACTGTAGTCTGTCAAGTAGTCTTTGATACAGGCGATCATTGAGTCTTCTGGAGTTCCTAAGAGCCAAATCTGATGTAAATTAGGATGAACTATGTTAAATGCACTGGAGAAATCAAAGAACATGATCCTTTGAATTAGACAAACTTTATTGTCATTTTGTACACACAGAGTGTATACAAAACGAAATTTCGTTTAGTGCAGCTCTCATGATATTTCCAGTTTCATGGTAATGGGGAAGAAGCTGTTTTGAAATCTGCTGGACCTGCATCAGATGCTTCGAAGCCTTTTCCCAGAGGGCAGCAGAGAGAACAGTCCATGTTGGGGGTGTGAGGGGTCAATTATAATGTTACAGGCTCAGGACAAGGAATAGGAGCGCCGATGATCTTCTCTGCAGTTCTCACTACTCTATTTACCATCTTCCGCTCTGCAATGCATCAGATTCCACACAATATAGTGACATAGCTGGTCAAAAGCTCTCTATCGTGCTTCTTTAGATGGTCATGAGGATGGGTGGGGGCAGATGTGCTCTCCCCATCCTCCTCAGGAAGTACATGCTTTTTGTGCCCTTTTGACCAGTAAGGCGGTGTTTACAGTGCAGGTGATGTTGTCTATGATGTGCACCCCCAGGAATTTTGTTCTGCTGACCACCTCTACAGCTGAGCGGCTGATGAGCGATGGAGCGTGGTTAGGCCGGTTCTTCCTGAAGTCCACAATGATCACTTTCGTTTTCTCCACATTCAGGATCAGGTTGTTATCTTAGCACCAGTCCACCAGCTGCTCCAACTCTTCTCTGTAGTCCTGTTAGTTGTTGACTCTGATGAGGCCCACCACTGTGGTGTCGTCTGCAAACCTCACAATGTGATTGGTGGTGAACCTGGGAACACAGTCATGTGTCAACAGGGTGAACAGCATGGGGCTCAGGACGCAGCCTTGAGGGGAACCTGTGCTTAGACTGATCTGAACTGAAGTCCAGGAACATAGGTGTTCTTCTCCTCCAGGTGTGCTAAGCTCAGGTGAAGGACAGAGGAGATGGTGTCTTCAGTTTTGTCGGTAGGCGAACTTAAGTGGGTTGAATGTTGGAGGAGACTGGAGATGATGTGTTCTTCAACCAGCCTTTCAAAGCACTTCATCATAATGGGAGTCAGTGGGACAGGCTGTTAGTCATTGAGTGAGGTGACCTGAGGCTTCTTCGGGACCGGAATAATGGCAGACCTAAAGCATGCTGGCACTATGATTTGGTCCAGCAAGGTGTCGAAAATGTCTGTGAGGACACCGGCAAGCTGACCTGCACACTCCTTGTACACCTGCCCAGGTATGTTATCTGTGCCTGGGGCTTTTCTTGGGTTGACTCTCCTCAGAGTTTTCCTCCCTTCAGCTATGTCAAGGTTGAGTGCCTCCTTCCCCTGGTCTGGAACAGCTTTCACTGCTGGAGTGTTGTTTAGTGCCTAAAACCTTCCAAAGAAATTATTTCGTTCATTTAAGAAGAATCAGGGGGAGGGTGTGTTTTAAATTCAATTAAGTTTATTTATATAGCGCCAATTCACAGCACGTCATCTGAAGGCACTTTACAGCTCACCAGATCATACAGTCAAACTGATTGAAAGTCTTCTATCTAAGAAAAACAAGTCCAATGCCCAGACTCATTGACTCAAAGGCAGTCCATCACGCTAGGCATGCTTGTAGCAACAGTGGAGAGGAAAAACTCCCTTTTAACAGTAAAATACTCCAGCAAAACCAGGCTCAGTGTGAGCGGCCATCTGCCAAGGCCGACTGGGGTTCAAGGAGACAGAAGCAGAGATGCAAAAGGCAACTGTAAAAGGTGGCCCAATCCAGGAAAAACACAGCCAGGCAGACAAGCTCCAAGCGAGCACATCCAGCCAGTCACAGTCAGAGAAACAGGACTACACTGAAAAACAGGCAGATCTCAAACATTTATAAACAAAGGTGTTGATTGCAGCAGCACAGCTGATATTTCTCTCCAGGATGGAGTCACAGCCAAACAGGGACAGACGAGGCAAAGCTACTATGAGAAAAACCAGAGAGAGCATAATGTTAGAGATTCAACTAAAAGATTCTGCAGATTGGGAGAGTAGAGATAGAATTAAGCAGTATGAGGAAAAGGGCTCCCTATGTCCTCTAGAAGTCTAAACCTAAAGCAGCAAAACTATAGAGATAGCTCAGGAAAACCTGAGCACCTCTAACAATAAGCTTTATCAAAAACGACAATTTTAAGCCTATATTTAAAAGCTGACAGGGTGTCTGCCCTACGGACTAAAACTGGTAGTTGGTTCCACAGGAGAGGAGCCTGATAACTAAAAGATCTGCCTCCCATTCTACTTTTAGAAATTCTACGAACCACTAGTAAACCTGCAGATTGAGAGCAAAGTGCTCCGTTAGGAACATAAGAAAAAATCAGATCTCTGATATAAGATGGAGCTTGGCCATTTAAGGCTTTATATGTGAGAAGGATTTACCAGGAAGCCAATGAAGAGAAGCTAGGATATAAGAGATATGTTCTTTCTTTTTAATTTTCATCAGAACTCTGGCTGCAGCATTTTGGATCAGCTGAAGGCTTTTAACTACAGTTTTTGGACTTCCTGATAGTAAAGATATACAATTGTCCAGCCTTAAAGTAACAAATGCATGGACTAGTTTCTCAGCATCACCGCTGGACGGGATATTTCACATTTTTGCAATATTGCCCAGATGAAAGAAGGAAATTCTAGAAACCTCTTTGATATGGGCTTTAAATGACAGGTCCTGATACAAAATAACACAAAGATTGTCTACTTTATTATCTGAAATCAGTTTAATCCCTTCCAAATGAAGTGACTGACTAATCACACTGCAAAAAAACATCTAGAAATGAGTAAAAATGTCTTAAATTAAATGTATTTACCCTTAATTTGAGCAGGTAAATAAGATGATCTGCCAATGGAATGAGTATTTTTACTCCTAAAATAAGATAATTAGATAATATACACTTGAAATAAGACAATACAATTGTTATTTTCTTATTTTAGATGTAAAATGTCTTGTTCCATTGGCAAAATGTCTCACTTACATCCTCAATTCAAGAAAATATGCATTTAATATGAGCAAAAATTACCTATTTAGATTTCCATTTTTTGCAGTGCAGCTTCTTTTTCAAAGTCGTGTTGCAGTCTGTGATCGCCCGTATGCCCTGCCACATCCTCCTGGTGTTGCTGGCATTGTGGTAAAGATCCTGGATTTTCTGGCTGTGGTTCAGCTTCGCTGATCTGATGGTTTAAATATGCAGGCGCTGTCCTCAATACCTCTTTATCACCATACTTGCAAGTTCACATTGTTGTGGAAGGGAACGGCACCTTCATCTGATTTGGTTTATTACAAATGGATAGCAGGTGGGCTGCATGGCAGAGTTAGAGGATGAAACATTTGAGATGTGACAGGAAAGGTATGAGTCAAAAGGGGGGGTTAATGGCGTGG